TCATATAGTTGCAACTAAAAACATATTTGAAGCATATGCTGCTCCTGAGCAAGAAATTTGTGCTCTCTTGATAGAAGAAAACATATTTGAAATATCAATAAAGACAATCATTAATATTCTGTGTGCAAAAAGCCACATTTTGCCCGGTAACATAAGCCTTTCCTGCTTGTTCCGATGACCACAAGGCCGGAGGCTATCTGAAAACCAATTCCCTAGGGAATGCATTCATGCAATTTTTGAAATTCTTTCAAAGCGATCGCAGTACTTACACAAATGCCTCCGCCCCTGAGGCGTCGCCAAAAAAGGACGAAGCTCGTCGACAATGTGACGGGGGCATAAGTACTGCCGCAAATTCACAACACCAGCTTTGCATTCCTGTGGTTTAGTGGCATTTTTTTTTTTGGCCGGAATTTTTTTTATTCGCCCGCGCGCACTAGTTTGGGGTCTTCAGGTCATTCATAAAATTATGTCGGTGTGGCCTTACACACACACAGTTACAGCTAATAGGACACGCTCCTCCGTGACGTAATGATGGTTTGTGCGGTTTGGCTAAGGTTATTCCCTGCCCAGCAAAATGCCATAACACCGCGGTTGTAAATGGTAGGAATTTTATACTTGCGCATTTCCTACTTAAGTAAAAGTGAGTATCATTCGTCATAAATCATTTGACATCAATCATAGAAATCGGGGACTCATTTGAGAAGCTTCTGGAGAGTAAAAAGTAATAATAGAATATAATCAAAAGTCTGCATATGTACTCTGAAAATCTAAATTCCTTCTTTTAGAAATCTTCGACGTTGAAGGATCACACAACTATACGAAAACAACTCAAGTTGTCGACTTGACCTACCCGGAAAGTCTTCAGTTGCCGACGTGCGTCCGACCAGGAACACCAGCCCCACGGTGAGGAGCACTTTGCCGGCCATCTAAAACGCACCTGATGACAACATAGGTAAAAAAACAGCTTAGATTTCAAATGATTACAAGTAAGAAATTAATCCTTTGCATTGAACTATTCTAATAAGGCGTCTAAAGCTATAGGCATGATGTCAGAGCAAGTAACAACAACAACAAGAACAACAAATCTCCGCGCCGTCTCCTCGTTGTCGTCAATGGCCAAGTTGCTAAAAAGAAAGGTCATTCATAGAGTGAATGTATACGTATATCTGCATTGCGACGGTCAAAAGCCCTGGCCTTGGGGTGCTGCCAGCAACGTACAGATGGTGTTATCACAGCAGCCCAACCGTCCCATCGCAATATGGCTACTTGGCAAGCCATACCTGCTGCCAGATTACCGCGGGTCAACACGAGAGTTTTTTTTTGTATTTGCTTTGTTTTGTTTTGTCGGGTCCCTGATTAACACCTATAATCAGGCAACTCTAAAGCGTCGGTCACAACCCGCCACACGTGCATCTGCGTGCTGTCTACGTGCAAAAACGTGGGGAAAACGTAGGGGATCCGTAAAGCCTCGGTCACAACCCGCCGTACGTGCTTTTTGTCCGTACGTTTTATTGGGACCGGAGGCTACGTCTGCTACGTTTTTTCTGAAAACGTGGGGAAGGAGTGGCGTCGACGCACGGTTGCGCAAGGTGTAAGAGTGTGGTCTGCACGCTACGTCTGGCTGTGAGTGGTTGCGTGCATCGTACGTTGCGCAAGTGGCAAGTGAGTTGTACGTGCTTAGAACGTACGATCTCTGTGCGATTGCAACTTTACCGTAAGGAGGTCGTACTCACACGTGCGTCTTACGTACGATACGTACGGGGCACGCGCGTCGCCCGTACTCGCACGCACGGGTAGTGAATCCGCACGACCGCAGACCGTACGTAGAAAAAGTTTTACGTGCACTTAAAGTTCTACGGCGTGTTTGCGTGCTCCCAAATCCGTAGGATTCCGTATGGAGGTGGTACTTACCACGCACGGATGCCCTACGTTTTCCCACGTTTTTGCAAGTAGACAGCACACAGAAGCACGTACGGTGGGTTGTGACCGGGGCTTAAGTGGTGAGTACCA